AAAAAAAAAAAAAGAACTATGTGTACTTTTCAACCAACCTTCTGCAGCATTAGGATCAAGCCATACTCTCATAACTGAGTCAAGTTTGGGAGACTAGATGGGTTGGGAGATGATAGCACTTACCCTGCCTCTTTAAATGAATACATTGGATTTAACATACAAAACTATCAAAGCATCAATGTGTTCAAAGAACTAAAAGAGTGTTTAAAGAATTAAAGGAAAGTATGAAAACAATGGACCAACTAATAGGAATCTTATCAAATAGATAGAAATTGTATTGTTTTTTAAAAATAACCCAGTGAAAATTTTGGAGTTGAGAAAGACAATAATTGAAATTTTAAATTCTCTAGAGTTGACTTAACAACATATTTGAGGTAGCAGAAGACAAGAAATCAGTGAACTTAAAACTAGGCCAATAGAAGTTGTTTAATCTGAAAAAGAAAACTTTGAAGAAAAATGAACAGAACCTCAGAGACCTATGGGACAACATCACCTATACCAATTAATGTATAATAGCAAAGAAAGAAGAGGGCTATGAAAATAGAAAATAGAAAAGATAGAAAACTATTGGAAGAAATCATGGCCAAAAACACTTCCTGAATATGATAAAATTCAGCAAAGAATACATAATCTTTTCAAATGCACATGGAACAATCTCCAGAATACATCATAAGTTAGGCCACAAAATAAATTTTACTACATCTAAAAGGATTAAAACAATGCAATATATGTTCTCCAACCACAATGGAATTATGTTAGAAATCAATACCAGAAAGAAATCTGGAAAATCCCCAAATATTTGGAAACTAAATAACATACTTCTAAATACCCAGTGAGTCAAAGAAGACATCAAAATGGATTTAAAGATATTTTATCATAGAGAAAATGAAAATGCAGCATATTAAATTATATAGTACAGTCAGAAGGAAACATAGTGTTACGTATCTATGTCAAAAAAGAAGAAAGGTCTGAAATTGATCATCTTAAGAAACCACAAGAAGAAGAACAAAATAAACCCAAAGCAAGGCAATGGAGGGAAATAAAGACTAGAACAGAATGCAGTAAAATAGAAAATAGAAAAATAACAGAGAAAAATCAATGAAACTAAAAATTTGGTCTTTGAGAAGATCAGCAAAACTGACACACCTTTAGCTATATTGACAAAGAAAAAAGAGGGCAGATGCAAATTACGAAAATCAGGAATGAAAAAGAGGACAGCACTATGGCCCCTACAGAAATTTAAAAGGATTATAAGGGAATGTTACAACCGACTTTATGCCAAAAAATTAGACAATTCAGAAACAGTGAATGAATTTTTTAAATGATATAAGTTATCAAAACCGATTCAAGAAGAAACAAAATCTGAAGAGACCTATAACAAATAAAGAAATTTAAATTAGTAATTTAAAGTTGTTTCCATAATAAAAACCCAGACCCAGATGATTTCACTGATGAATTCTATCAAAAGTTTATAGAAGAAAGAAGAAATAACACCAGTCTTGCCTATACTCTTTCAGAAAATGGCAGAAGGAACACTTGCCAACTCATTCTAAAAGGCCAGTAGCATCCTGATACCAAAGCCAGACAAAAACATAATAAGAAAGCAATAGACCAAATTCCGTCATGAACATAGATGCAGAATCTTTAATTACAATATTATTACCATCTGCAAACTGAATCCAGCTGCCCATAAAAAGGATTATACACTGTGACCAAATGACATTTACCCCCAAAATACAACATTGGTTTAACATCTGAAATCAATCAATGTAAGGTAGCAAAGTAGATAGTAGAATTTTAAAAAAACCTTCTGGTATTTTATGATATCCATTTATAATAAGAAGCCTGAATAGACTAGGAATAGAAGGGAATTTTCTCAGCCTGATTAATAGCATCTACCAAAACCCACAACTGACATCATACTTCATGGTGAAAATTTGAAAGCTTTCCCCTTAGATCAGCAACAGGGCAGTGAGGTTCTGCTCCCACCACATCTGTTCAACATTGTGACCAGGCAAGAAGAGAAAGAAAGTCACCCCGATTGCTAAGGGAGAAGTAAAACTGCCTTATATGACATGATCCTGTGCATAGAAAATCCCAAGGAATCCACACACAAAAAACTACTAAAACTTGTAAAAATTTTTAGCAAGGTCAATATGCAAAAGTCTGTTGTATTTCTAATATACTGGGAATGAACAGTCTAAAACTTAAATTAAGAAACAATTTCATTCACATCAGTACCAAAAAGAATAAAATATAGTTGGGCATGAACTTAACAAAAGAAGTGTAAGATTTGTACAATGAAAGGTACAAAACATGGCTGAGAGAAAATAAGTATTTAAATAAATGGAGAGACATCATGTGTTCACGATTAGAAAGGCCCACTATTGCCAAGATGGCAGGCCTCCCAAAATTGGGGGTGTAAATTCAAAACAATTCCTATAGAAATCCCAGCAGACATTTTGTCAGAAATTGACAAGTGGATCCTAAAATTCACATGGAAAGGCAAAAGACCTGGAATAACCAAATTAGTTTTAAGAAAGAACGACGTTTGAGTACTCAGACTGTTTAAGTTCAAAACTTACTATAAATCTGCAGTGACCACATAGTGCATTATTGGAACAAGGATAGGCGTATGTATAGATCAATGGGAACAAAAATTAAGGATTTAAGAGAAAAAAAACTTACATTGATCATTCAGTTGATTTTCAACAAAGGTGCCAAGACAATTGAATGGATAAGGGATAGTCTAATTGTGTTGAGATAATTAGATATCCACATGTAAAAATGATCTTAGACCCTCACCTCAAACTATGCACAAAAATACACTCAAAATGGGTCAGAGATTCAAGTGCAAGAGATAAAACTAAACAAAAATCTTAGAAGAGAAAAAGAAAATCTTCATACCTTCGGGTGTTAGGCAAGGAGTTCTTGGGTATGACACCAAAAGCACAATTCAGAAAAGAAAACTTGATCAATAAATTTGACTTCATCAAAATTAAGAATTTCTGCCCTTTGAAAGGTGATAAAAGAATGAAAAGTCAAGTAACATACTGGAAGAAAATATTTGCACATCATAAATTTGATAAATGACTTGCTTCCAGAATAATTAAAGAACTCTTGGACCTCAGTAAAACACCCAATTTAAAAACGGACAATTTAAATAGACATTTTACCTATGAATATATACAAGGGGCTAATAGATTTTCAACTTCATTAGTCACTAGGAAAATACAAATTAAAAATATGAGTTAACACTAGAATTATACCCACTATAATGGCTGTAATAGAAAACACAGACTGGGCCCAGCCTGGTGTGGCTCAGCAGCTGAGCGTCGGCCTAGGATCCAGGAGATCGCGGTTGGATTCCCGGTCAGGGCACATGCCCAGGTTGCGGGCTCGATCCCCAGCGGAGGGCATGCAGGAGGCAGCTGATCAATGACTCTCTCATCATTGATGTTTCTATCTCTCTCTCTCCCTCTCCTTTCCTCTCTTTGAAATCAATAAAGATATATTAAAAATAAAATATATTTTTTTTTTTAAAAAAAGAAAACACAGACTATACCCAAGAGAATGTGGAGAAACTGAACCCCTCGTACGTTGTCAGTGGGAATATAAAATAGTACAATTTCTTTAGGAAGCAATTTGACAGCTTCTTTAAAAGTTAAACTGACTGTATGACCCAGAATTTCATTTCTAGGAATCTTCCCAAGAGAAATGAAAACACATTTCCACATAAAGTCATTTACGCTAATGTTCATGCAGCATTATTCATAATACCCCAAAACTGGGAAGAATCCAAGTGTCTGTCAAGCAGTAATGAAAAACCAAATGTCATAAATCCATACAATAGAATATTATTCAGCAATAAAAAAGAATTAAATGCTGATACGTGCTACAATATGAATGAACTTTATAAACATCATGTGAAAAGAAAGAACACAAAGAGAAAGACACAGGGGCCACATATTGTAGATTCCATTTGTATGAACTATCTAGAAAAGGCAAGAGAAAGCAGAGAGAGAAAGCATATTTATAGAGAGAGAAAGATAGTGAGAGTGGTGATTAGCTATAAATGGGCATAGGGAACTGTTTAGGGTGGTGGAAAGGTTCTAAAATTGGATAATGATTGTGATTGCTCAACTCTATAAATTTACTAAAAACCATCAAATTGTACACTTATAGTGAGTGAACTTTATGGTATGTAATTTATACCTCACAGCCATTTTTAAAGGCATTGTCTCACTTTCTAGGCCATTTGGGCTCAATTTTAAGGGCTGTTCTAAATTCTAGTGCAACAAGGTTGATTTATTTACATTGTCATATAAACTCTCTGACTTGTATTTAATCTTATCTATCTTATAAGAATAACAATTTTTAAAGAAATACCTATTTACATGGGCCTTTGTTTCAAATACATTCTTCCAACACACCTTTGTGTTTCCATCTAAATGGCTTTTGATTTTACCCTTGGCTAAAGTCTTACCATTCATTCTGTTAGTGCTTGTCTTTGACAGTTTCCTTTCCAGGATAATACTAACTTTTAGAAACCATAGCATGGAGCAGTGTTTATATACTTTTGATGTCATTTATCAAGTTCTTTAATACATCTTTGCAATGAAAATATAAAGTCTTATTTATGAAATGCACCTTAGTTTTAATTATATGCTTATCTTTCCATTAAAAATAGAATATGCTTCCCTGGGATCACTGTATGATTACATTAACAGTAACAGAAGTGAAGAGATGGACATGGAGCACATCATGACCTGGGCCACCGATGTAGCCAAAGGTAATACTGTTTTTGGTGTATTTGCAGAATTGGTGGGGAGCATTTTCCCGTCCTGACATGGTGACTTAAGTCAGAAGATTTGTTATTCTGTGTCTTTTTGGTGGTCTTTTTTTCTTCAGAACAAAAGTAGCAAGAATTTTGCAACTTACTATACAGATAATATTTTAGGTCACTGCCTTTCCACTCCTGCATTCCTTTTCTCTCTTTCCTTTTTTTTACTTTATTTCATTCCCTAAAACCAAGTCCCAACAAAATCATTGGCTTCAGAACAGCCATTTTTACCACATTTTGTGCCATTGTAATTGACCAGCTTGCTTGACACATTAAGTGTAAAGATCATAATCCAGTTGTTGTTCTACAAGTCTCTACTTAGACTCAGTATCCAGATAATGTGATTTATTGTAGGATTAGTTCTACTCATTTTGTATACATAATAATATACTAAAAATAGTAACCACTTGCAAAAAAAAATTTGTCTTGCCATGTACAAGCAATTCAGATTTTATTTTATATTTAATGTAAACTTGGAAATCACCCATGGAAATTATATATTTTTAATGCACAAAATCCCTAAACAGGGTGCCCAGTTCTTTTTCCCTCATAAATTCCTGAATAGACTGATGCTTTCTGAAGCAATTTAAATTCCATTTATTTTTATCTTTTTTTTTTCCATTTTCCTAACTGAACATTTCTGAGTTTTATTTATAACTGTCAGAGTTGCTTTGGGAACAAGGTAATCTAAATAACGACCACTGATAGTTACATTCGTATTCTAGCAACCTCTAGAAAGCAAGTGTGTCCAAATTTTACTGGGGCAATTAACTCCTTTGAGTTTTGCTACTCCAGATTCTATAAGCATCTCTTTACAAAGCAAAAAAAAAGACATTTAACACTCAATAAGGAGGGCAACTCCTACTTTGCTTTCACTAGGAAGTCATACAGTGACTTCCAAAAAGTAATAGTCTTTCTTTGGGGAATTATCTTGTTTGTTTTAAGTTTCATCAACATCTGCCAAATTCTTCAAATAAGGAAAGCGAAAATTTTGTTTTAAGTTTCATGCTAAATGCCGCTGCTAAATGATACTTCATTACCTTATAAGAATAATAAGCTCTAAGTTCAGGATGGTGCACTTAAGGCTTTGGCTGTGTTAATTAACTTGTGTGTTCAAGCATCCCGCATCTCAGATCAGCCTTCAACCGTCACCGTCTTCAAGACATTTTCGGGTACATCATAGTCACTCCTCCGCCTGTCAGCAGTGCACAGGGACCACCAGTCTGTAAGCAGGGCGGTGAGCTGCTCCTGGGAGCTGCCTGGAGCGCTGTGGAAATGCGCTGACATGAGTGTAAACACATACACGAGCAGTCCTTGACCTAAAGCACGTCGCCTTCCAGACGTGTGCATTGAGGGTGCTCAGCCAGTAACACCCACATTCCCCCTTAGGGTAGACAGACAGCAGGTAAACCAGCTGACATCAGTCCCCTGGTTCCTGCTGCGCACCCCCTCCTTAAGCCCTCCTGCCCCAGCCTGTGAATCTTGTCCCCCTGGCCCCTTCCCTGCACAGCCCCTGTCTGGGGGCGAGTCCCTCGGCTGCAGGTCAGCTCTGTCATCCCGGGGTTTCTCAGACACTCTGTGTCAGGGGGGCAAAGAGGAGAAGAGACAGAACCAAGTAGCAGACCGGAGCCAGAGGTAAGGAACAGGGATGGAGAGAACAGGAGTGACCATGGGACTGGGTCCAGAACTGCAAATAATAAGATCGCGTTTTTGTGCCTGGTGAATTGATCCGAAAGGCAAGTTCTAACGCACTTGGCCAAGGCTGAGCAGCATGAGGCAGAGAAGAGACTGACTTGTTTACAGTTACAAGTAACACCCCATATTTAAGGTAGCCTATGAAAGGAAGCGGGAATCAGTGCTGTTGGGATGACTTCAACCCTCTGATAAAGCCATGGGTAGAACTTGGAGATTCAATAGGAAGGCCTGAATTTCATTGATCCTGTTAGAAATTCAGCTATGTACCTTTCGGTTTGACCGGGATTGAAGCCACTGTAGCAATAAGATGTTGAGAAATCAAAGAATGTATAATTTATTTTAAGTAAGAGTTGGTTCATGCATCTTGACATAGGCACTGCAACATCACTGCGAAAAGGTGCTCTTCTTTCTGGTGGACAGAGAGTGGAGAAGGGCAGGCCAGCAGGTAGATCAGCCAGCAGTGTGTCAGAGGAACAATTCACGCAGACAAACCTGCATCCAGTCTCAAAGTGATTCCAAATCTCTCCCAAATGACACCAGTCACATTTTTTTTAGGAAACCCTGAACCTTAAAAACTGATGAAGGCATTCTCCAGCCTTCTTAGTAGTTGTTTGCAATAAAAATAAGACAGAATTACAGATGGCTCTATAAAAACAAGTTAAATAGAATTTTACATGATTGTGATTACTACTATGTTTACGAACACTAAATATTCTGTAAGCGTATGCTGTGCATTATACACAAATAATTTATGCTATTCTAAAATCTGCCATGAGGAAAAAAATGCCAATATTTAAAGCTTTTGTACTTCAGTATTGTTTTATTGGAATCCTTATTTGTCACAGGTGTAGCAACTGTCCAGCTCTACCTCTAACAGCAATTAAACCAGTTCTACCTGGAAAAAAAAATTCAGGAATTTTATTCTTAAAGCAAGAGGGACATAACTATGAAAATCAGTCATAAAAGTTATTAAAAGTTACCCATTTTAACTATTTAATTTTCACAGTGTATAGTATGCAGAACTTCATATTAGATTTTCTTTATTCCAATTATATCTTGTTTAAGATCATTTAAATTAGTAATACTTTTGTTAAGTTGACTCTTTTCAGGAATATCTTTATATAGCAAGAGTATAAGTTCTCTTATATTCTTTGTTCTTTCATGATTCTTCAATATGTAATAATCAGAATGGTAAAAAAATAATAGATTATTTTTACAATTAACTTTTATAAAATTGAAATTTTCTATGTACTTAAAAAAGAGCCAAAGCCTAGTTATTAAATTATGTTTAACAGATAATTTATTTTTAAAAAGGAGCCTGTCTGATTTGGAAAGGGGGGAGGGCTAATTCTTCTATTATTTAGAAAAGACTGTGAGAAATAAAGGGAGAGGAAATTTTCAGTAGAGAATGTTCTTTTTCTTTATTCTAAGGGGATAGTCCATACATAAGTACAAAAATAAAGTCACACACTACTAAAGGGGTAAGTGTGACGTATGTGTCTTTCAAATTATAATTTTTAATTCAAAATAGTAAAACTCAGTTTATATGCATCCAAGTTACTGAAGTAACTTGGTTTATATTCCAAACATGTTGGAGAGAATTTTGGAGTCCCTATAAATATAGATTATCTCAAAGATTTATTCTTGTAAAAAAGAATAAAATATTTTGCAACTACTATATATTTTTTCTACCTGAGGATCATAAAATCCTTCAGCAACCATAGCCAATGAATCCAGCTAGTTCTTTCCCCAACCCCACCTCCACTCCCAGGGTCTCACTGGAATGAGCACGGAGAAAACTAACTGGGTGGCTGCAGACATCCCAACAAAAAATGGAACACCTCGGCCAGAACTTACCGATTTAGAAGGCAGTTGGTAGTGGAATACCTTAGTCATTGGAGCAATTCTTCCAGTTGTAACTGTGCTATTTTCGTGCAGACTCCAGGAAATAAGGTGTCCTTATTAGGTATTGTAAGAAGCTAGCTTTACCCACAATCAAATTCCAACTTCTAAGAGATCAAAGCACATGCATTTTCCTTAGCATATAAATTTTCCTTATGTAGACATATCTTGTCTCTATTTTATCAGTTCTAATATAGACATACCTTATCTCTATTCTACTGAATCCTTTGCAAAATGTGAATGATAATGTTGATGTTTAAAATAGAAAGGTAATAATGATATGATGTTGAAAAACGGTATTAATAGACCTTTCTTCCTTCTTGTATAAAAAGGAATGCACTATTTACATATGGAAGCTCCTGTCAAGGTGATTCACAGAGATCTCAAATCAAGAAACGGTAATGTAGTCATGTTTTTATTTTACCTATTTTATTTCAAGACACATGCCCCTGTGTATAGAAATAGCATCATGCTTCCCATACCTTTTGTTACCTGCTGTTTTGACTAACCACTGATACCACGAAAACCTTCCCACTGTTAAGAAATACCAAACTTCTCCATATTATTTCAAGAGGCTACATAGTATTTCACTGTATGAATAGCACAGTGTGGAAATTTGAGTTGTTTACATTTTTTTCTGTGATAAAAGAATGTTGAGCTTAATACTTTTCAGCAAAATTTTTCAACACATCTTTAATTATTTTTTTAGAATTGTTTTCTAAAAGACCTAGTGCTGGATCAAAGCACATAGTCATGTATTTCTAGTCTGCTATTTTTAAACGGTTCTCTGTACTAGTGGTTTTGAGGTTTGTTCTTGTTACTTCTGAATTATTTGGTGTTAATTTTTTATGTCAGTCATATTACCTGGAGTAGTGCCCAAAAGTGATCAGCACATTTAGGAAATTAAAGCCTTTCTTTTGCTTTCTTCTTTCCTTCAGTACGTTCTAAGGTTTATTTATGACCCTGTAGAATTTGGAGAGAGAGTATTTGAAAATGACTTGTAGGGTTAGACGTTAACTCCGAGTGTAACAGAATGCCTCTTCCATCACGTCACTTGAAAGTTAACGGAAAAAGGCAATGGGATTATTTCACTAGCCAGCACCAGCTGAAGTAAACATTGGAGTTTACTAATTTAAAAAAAAAACATCTTGCCCTGGCCGGCGTGGCTCAGCGGTTGAGCGTCACCCCATGAACCAGGAGATCTTGGTTCTGTTCCCGGTCAGGGGACATGCCCAGGTTGCAGGCTCGATCCCCAGCAGGGAGCGTGCGGGAGGCAGCTGATCAATGCCTCTCTCATCATTGATGTTTCTGTCTCTCCCTCTCTCCCTTCTTCTCTCTGAAATCAATAAAAAAACATTTTTTTAAAAAAAGAGGCTATTTTTAAAAAAATCCTCTTGCTATCAATTCAATTACATGCTCTAGTTTAATTATTTTCATGCTTTCTAAGTGATTCTTCTAAGTAAGGAGGAAGATAACTATGTTTAGGAAATCTTTAAATCACTGCAGTTAAAATGGGTGTATAGTAGTAGTGCCATCCTTGGAATAGGTAGTCCTGGTAAGTGGAGGGACAGGAGTAGGGAACTGACCAGCTGCCCTGGCTCAGACTCCAGGGCTGTGAGGTCTGTGGGGGTGGAGAGAGGGCCTTTGTTGGCAGCTGCCACTCATCAGCAGTCCAGGCTGTGCCACTAGCTTGACCCTGCCAGTCGGCTCTGCCGCATTGCTCTGCCCTTCTCCTAGGTCGTCACTTCCCTTTGGCTTCTCTTAGACATAAACCTTCAGCAGCTAAAAACTTTGACATATAGTTGGCTAACAGGAAGTCATTAAAAAAATAATCTAAAATCTTGTAGGAAGTATTAGAGTTTTATGACTTTGAAATTTTTAGTTCATGCTCAGAATTCCTACCTAAACAAGTTATTTGACTTCTCTCCTTTTAATCTGCGTTATCTCTGTATCCTGAATATCTCAGGAGAGGAGAATGATTAAATTATGGGTGTGTTTTTCATGCTGTCACTATGAAAACTAAATAACAATGGAGACTGTCCCCATTTCTTAAAACGACAATTTGTGCAGTTATTCGATGGAAAACACGTACACATTGAAACAATACAGACCTATTTTTAATAATTTTTTTCTGGGAGAGGGAATAATAAGACTCCTATTTTCTGTGTCATATATTTTTATAATCTTAGGTATTTAAAAATGAGCATTTTTTGTCTTATAATGAGAAAGAAGGAGTGGAGGGATTTTTTAAATAACTGAATATAGTCTTACTGATATTTACATATTTTTTTGAAATAGTTTATAGCTTATATATAGTATGTTTACCCTTAGCCTATTTCTATATATTAGGTCATGCAAAGATTATTTCCCCCCGCTTTTCAAGGTCATTAGTAACAGCTTATAAGCACTGATCACCCACCATGGTCAAGGCACTGGGTGGCTTACAACAGAAATGTCAGCAACCGTTCTTCAGGGTCCCTGTCCTCTCCCTCTTTATGTTTTTAGTCTCTCTCTCCCATAAAAGCCCCTTATACATATTAACACTCCCAAACAGGTCCCAACTTCCAAACTCTGTATCTGTCTGCTTATTGGAGGTGGCCACATAGGTATTTGAGGTGACTTTAGGATGCATCGCGTCCAAGCTGATCTTTTCATCTCCCTCTACCCCCTAAAAAGATTTTTCTTGCATTCCCTTTCTCGGAGAGTGGCAACACCGGCTGCCGAAGCCAGGAGTTACAGCCTGACGGCAGAGCCCAGGGCCTGGCCTGATGCCGTCGCCGTGTCCTTTCATTTCGCCTTTGGTACTCTTCCCCCGTTCCCGCTGCTCGGCCGCGCCCATTCCGCCTCCTGCACACGTGTTAACCGGCCTACTCTGCCCTTTGCGCGGCCTAACTACAGGCGCCCTCACCTCTTGGACTGCAGACGGCAGGCACCTGGTCTCCTTGCCCCCAGCTCTGTTCTCTAATACACTCTCCCCTCTGCACATATCACCTTCCTTTGCTAAAAATTATTCATTGGCCTTCCGTTTCTCACAGAGGCTCTTCTGGAGCTGGCCCCCGTCCTCCAGAATTGCATGCCCGCTTCTCTGCCGACCTTTGCAAGGCTCTTTCTTCTGCCTAGAAAACTACTCTCTCGCCCTCAGCTCTCCACTTGCTGGTTAATCCCAATGTGTTCCTCAGGTCTTAGTATAAGCTCGATTTCTTCCAGGAAGCTTCCTCTGGCCCCCTTAGGCTTAGCTCTCCCTGCTTGTTAGTTCCCTGGCAATCTCTCCTCTCTCCATGGAATCGTCCCGCTTTATTGTCGATGGGCTTTGTTTTATTGTCTCGCCCGTTAGAGTGTAAGCTCCATGAGAGCAGAGGCAGTGCCGGTGTGGCTCACCTTTCTTCTTCCAGAACATAGGACATGGCTTTGCTCAGCAAATATTTGTTAAATGAATGAATGTATGAATAAGCGAATGAATGAATATTATCTCTACCTTTAAGAAAATGACTCTTCAGTTGTGAGGAAAAACCATGAAGTAATAATGCTAATGACTTCCTCAGTGTCGTGTTAGCAGCCTAGTGGCAGAACCCAGGTAAAAACCCGGTTCTCCTGACTACTACTAATCTATGCTTTTTTGACATTTGATTTCAATAAATGTCTTAGAAGCCTTTTTAAGCACCTCATGGAATTTTTTGTTTTGGTTTTAATGTCAGATCCTTTTTTCAAAATCTACAGTGCAGTAACTACTTTGATTTTACCCATCACGATGCCATATGGAAGCTAGAAATAGACCTTTATGATTTTTTCAGAATAAGATACTCGAACAAAGTAGGCGATCATCATAATTTATCTTTTTTCTTTTTCTTTTTAGTTGTTATAGCTGCTGATGGGGTATTGAAGGTAGGACTATTTCTTTCCATTTGAAAAAAATTAATTTCAAATGTAGGTTTTTATTACTGTGTTTTTTATGAGTCATTAAGTAGAAAGTTGACACTTATTTCTGTTTTCTCAGATCTGTGATTTTGGTGCCTCTCGGTTCCATAACCATACAACACACATGTCCTTGGTTGGAACTTTCCCGTGGATGGCTCCAGAAGTTATCCAGAGTCTCCCTGTGTCCGAAACATGTGACACATATTCCTATGGTGTGGTGAGTTCATTTCTCATTTTTTGTTGCTAAAGGAAATTTAAAAAAAGAAAAAGAAAAAAAGAAGTGGGATACAACAATTTAACACAGTTTTAAGACAATGATGTTGTTTCTGGTTGGAATGCCTGGCACAGTGGCAACAGAGAGAACACTTTGCAATTACTAGAATATCTACCCTGATCACTTTTACGCATCTGAGCTATTTTGTCCTATGTTGAGAAGAAACCAGTGCCACTTCTAAGAGGCAACTTAGACAGAACCTGAACTGGTGTTGGACCTGATGCACTCCTGTGGACAGTGCTTCCTGGGTGGACACAGCTGTAGAATATCTAAGTCAGTGGTGATATGGATTATTTGAAACAGGACTTCATTGTAATGAGCTGCTCAAAAACCACCAGTAGATCTGTCAAATAGATCCTGTTGATTAACAGGAAATTTTTGAGTGCCAGCTATTAAACTGATTAGTGAGTTTCTGGAAAGTACAGAAGAAAATGTTCTTAATAGTTAGCACATGGCCTTGCTCATTTCTCTGCAAGCCTTGTAAAGTAGTACTAGCTGTCTGAAACAGGGATCTAAGCTATCAAGGATAACAGCAGAGCAACCTAGTAACAAGAGTGGAAAAAGGTGGGGGTAGGGGGTACACAAGGAACAGAGACCACAGGAAGGAAGCAGTTAAGGAGCAAAAGCTTCTGGAAGGGTTTCAGAGGGCTCATTCTTAAGGAACAACTTATATCTGAATTAGCAGAAAGAAGTGGGGGAAATAGTAGAAGTAGTGGGGTGCTAGGGGGAGATAGGGAGGGCGGTTCTTTGGTGGTAGAAGAATTCATTTGTTGCTCTTTTTTAAGGATAAGTTTGTTATTCCTAGAAATGCTCTATATCCTTTAAAAAGTCCAAAATAGTTTATTGGGAACTCCCTGTCTCTGCATCTCATCTTCCAACTATACTGCCTTCTCTATTTATATTATTACTTCTTAAAAGGATATTTTCACGATAACGGGGAAAGACGCAGACTAATTTGGCCCAAATCAACATTGCCTCTTCTTCCTTCACTTCTGTTTTCAATGGAAGGCTAATGGCACAAGAGGAGACCAACACTGTCACACCCATTTCATTTACTTTAACTTTCATTGGTCTCTAGGTAGCTACTGCTGGCTGCATTGCTTACTGTTAGGCTTGTTTGAGCTGGCTAGCTTTTTCTAAATCACAATACATCTGATGTATACCAAATTAATTTAACATAGTGGAGATTAATTTTGTTGGTAGTTGGAAAAAAATCCTTTCAAGGATGAAATATATGTTTTGGGCAAAAGGCTAGAATTGTAAAGGCTGAAAGACAATAGTAGATCAAGCTAAATATTTAACTTTCCTTAATTCTGTGTATTTTTAAGAATGAAGGCTGTAAACTATAATAAACAGTGATCAAATAATTCTCACTGAAGGAAGGGGAAAAAAACATAAGTTCCTGAAGAGACTAGATTCTAAACCTGGGCCCCAAGTCAAAAGTTACTCCAGTCTGACCATCCTACAAATCACTTGCTAGGGAGTCTGAAAATGGGGGAATTTGTTGCAGTTTAAGACTTTGTGACATTATTTTTATGAAGTTATGTTCCTTCATTTTTTAGCAAAAATCTATTTATTGTGCCAGGCACTGTGCTAGACATCAATTCAGGCTAATTTAAATTGGACTTTGCTGGCTTCTTGGAACCAGGGTCTCATTTTAGCCAGCAAACTTTGTCTGTAAAGGACAAGACAGTAAATATTTTAGACTTTGAGGGCCACTTATAGTCTTTATTGCATTGTTGTTGTTTTTTACAACCCTTTAAAAATGTTAGAAGCGGCCTGCATTCTGCAGCAGGCCGCAGCTGGCAGACCCCTCGGCAGAACCAGACTGACTCGCAGATGAGCAACACACTGAAGAACTGTTCAGAGTAATGCCACAAGAGACCATAGTTCCCCCTGTTTTCTCTTGCCCGTGTGTATAAATATACATCAGCATATTTAGGTGATTATAGTTTTTAAATTATTTTGCACATTTACATCAATTAAGACTTTTGAGGCTCATTTTAGCACTCCACAAGTTCTCATACAGGGCTTTAATTTTTACAATGCTCCCCCATCTTGGAATTTCCCGATCTCAGAAGTTTTTCACCTGAAAGACACAACTATGAGTTATGTATAAAGTGAACTTTGGTTTTAGTATTATTTCATTTACGAAAATAAACTTCACACACTGCCTCCTTCTAAACCCTCACGGTGGCAGGGATTTGGCTGTGAAATGCGCCCACCAGCTTTACCTTAGTCGAAGTAGAATCTTAGTTGTAGTAACCAAGAAAAACAATCCCTTTTCACATGTAGACCATAACAGATGCTGAGAGGTGACTTCTGTTTGAGGACCTCAGGATTTTTTCTTATACCATTTAAAATCCCTTTCACTCATTCCATTGACCCCTCATGTTAAACATAGTTTGAATCCCCTTTCTGAAGCTGCAGATGTTTAGTTTATTTTCTTTAAAAGCTTTCCTTCAACTGGCTGCGCTGCTTTTCAGTAGACGGGCCTGAATTAGGTTTCCTGCTTGTTTACTTTCGAGGGATTTGACAAATGCTTAATAAATAGTTCTATCAAGAAATCTAACTTACTCCAGCAAATTAGGGCCAGTCACTGAACATTCCCAGTGTCGCCCTGTGCACACCAGAGGCTGCTCTCCAGAAGTGGCTCCCCAGTCACATGCGTTTGAATGTCAATCTAACGTTTGTGTCAGAGTGGTCTTTTAACTGGCGGGAACAGGAATAAATGCCTTCTCAGTGAATCTCTTTGTTTTAAAACAGCTTCTGTTTTGCTGTACTGAAGAGAGTGCTGGTTATTCTTACCCCATAGCTATGTAGGCAGAATTCCATTCAGAAAACTGCACGTAGTCTAATTTAATTATAAATGGAAATTCAGGATTTTATTTAATTCTGACCCCTTCCCACATTCTGTTCTAGATGAACACCATTAGTGAGAGAAAAAGTAGAAGGCCTATCTTCCAGAGCCTTTTTGTTTAAAGAACAGGAGAGGACAGCGGTTAAGGAGGGGCTGTGTTGGTTTCAGAAGTTTTTAGTATGTAAGTTTTGAAAATGATACTGAGCTAGGAACGCAATGTAGTTATTTAGAATTTTTGATGTCCTTTCAAAAACAGGAGAGTAGCCAGGACTCATTTCTCATTGGGAGCATCTCTTTGCATAAATCGTCCCATAATTTGTTAGAACTCTATTCTGTTCATTGAACCCATACACACGTAGCAGTCAAATACAAATAAATAAAACCATTTTTAAAAGTTGTCCTTGCCCTGGCTGGTGTGGCTCAGTTGGTTGGGCATTGTCCCTTGCACAGAAAGGTTGCCATTGCTGGTCAGGTGCATACCCAGGTTGCATGCTCTATCCCTGGTAGGGGGNCCTCTCCCTTCCTCTCTCTCTCTAAAAATCAATAAACTATTTTTAAAATAAAGTCCTTTCTGGAAACCCACTCCCCAAATATCAATATATTNACCCAGGTTGCATGCTCCATCCCTGGTAGGGGGCATGCAGGAGGCACCAATAGATGTTTCTCTTTCTCTCCCCCTCTCCCTTCCTCTCTCTCTCTCTAAAAATCAATAAACTATTTTTAAAATAAAGTCCTTTCTGGAAACCCACTCCCCAAATATCAATATATTTTTTAAAAAATATGTTTTATTGATTTCAGAGAAAGGAAGGGAGAGGGGGAGAGAGACAGAAATATCAATGATGAGAGAGTCATTGATCAGCTGCCTTCTGCACGCCCCCTACTGGGGATCAAGACTGCAACCCAGCCATGTGCCCTGACCGGGAATCGAACTGTGACCTCCTGGTTCATAGATTGATGCTCGATGCTCAACCACTGCCCCATGCCAGTCAGGCTATTTTTGCTTTTTTTTAAAAAATTTTTTTCAGGCTTGCTGTAGGAATTTAGCCTCTAATAATATCAAAGTCCCTAGCTCTCCCTAGCTTGCTAATCCTGTTGCTTCTTAACACATGGCAAGACTAACCAGCCCTAAAATAAATAGGCTGCGAATGCCAGGAATGGATCTTGTGATCCTTCGTCTAAGTTGGTACACTTTGCTAGGCAGGCAGTTCTTTCTCCATTTTAGAAGGCAAGATTTTTCTGCCCCTTTCTGATAGCCTCTCTTCAAGGACAAACCAGGAATGTTTAGTATGTTACACACACACACACACACACACACACACACACACACACGACTTAAGGAAAGTAAAAATCATTGAAAGAAGTCCCCTGAGAACACAGACCAGCCACTGCCTGAAAACAAAACTCTCCCGATGACAGTGTAGAAAGCATTGCCTTTTTAGAAGCTGCTCAGCCAAACCAGGTTTGAAACTAGAGTGGCTTAGAGAGAGCACCACCACCTCCCTTGTCTGCGAGCCCTGTTCCAGAGTGGGCAGCTCAGGTGCTGGCTTTCCATTNCACCACCACCTCCCTTGTCTGTGAGCCCTGTTCCAGAGCGGGCAGCTCAGGTGCTGGCTTTCCATTGTTTGTATAAGAAAAGGCAGGAAAAGTACACAGCCTGGCCCAAGTTTCTTTTCTGGAAACTGAAAATAGAAAATTTCCTTGTGAGCAGTTTAAACGGGAGGACGTCTGAATATAAAACAAGCTGGAAACTATTCTCAGGGTGAAAGATCACCGTGTTTGGCCTGCATCCCCAAAACTGATATTTTCAGGCATAGTTCAATATATTTTTAGACTTCCAGATGACTTCCTCAACAAAGTTACTTTTCTGTGCCAAATCGCCTCGTGTTTAGTGTAGAAAGGGCTGCTGTCCCATCGCATACCACCTACTCTTTGATGCATCCCCCGACCTGGTGAATTGGCGAGAGGGGATCGGAGATGTGCTAATCCTGGAATTAAACGAAAGCCCCTATTTGGGCTCAGCCCGCACGGCTTTCGCTCTGCGGTGGCGCCCGCGGCTGTAGCCGCTCTTTGGAGACGCAGAGAGGGAGCAAAAGGAAGCGTCCTACTTGTTCCGAGTTAGAACCAGAGACAGAGAACTCGGATCTCCCTAGATTTTGGACGCTCTCCAGCTGCACACTGTGGCATAAAGAATGACGTGAATCTTTGTCTGGTGCCCTTCCCCAGCCTCCCGGGTTTGCCTTTCCCTCGCAGAGCCCGGCCCGCTCCTGCGGGGTGTGCGCG